ATTCTATTTTCTTGCACTATTTTGAGTAAGTGGTCCAAAACAGAAGAAGTGCTAATGAAGTTACAGATGAGATTGGGACCGTTTGTAAGCACTGTAACACCACTATAACGCTGTAACACCATTTTGTCACCAGCTATCACAAACTTTGTCTCGACTTCTTGGTTTTTCTCTTAGCACCAACTGGTTTTATTTAGTGTAGACCTAATTTGATCATCTGTAGTTCAAAATACAAAATACTGCTGGAGGTTTCTTCCTGTTAAAGGGGAGTTTTTCCTCTCCACTGTTGCTACAAACATGCTTAGTGTGAGGGATTGCATTCGAGTCAATGAGTCGATGCAATCAACCGGTTTTCCTTAGATAGAAAACTTTGAATCAATTTGACTGTATGATCTGGTTGAACTGTAAAGTGCCTAGAGATGACATGTGTTGTGAATTGGCGCTTTATAAATAAACTGAATTGAATTTAATTGAAAGTACCTAAATTACAGCCCAGGGTCTGGGGGGTATTGGAAGGCAGACAAAACATCAACCCATGGGAAGTTATGAATGGAGAGCACCAATGGGGACAAGCGAATGTTTTAGTTAAAAAAAATAATACTAAAATTCTGTTGTTTTCTACAATCTAGTGGCAAACAACCCATCATGTGATACTAATATGTGGCCCCTTGCTTGGGTCCTTGTTGCTCAGACATATCAATCCTTAACAGATCTGTTGTACTTAGAACTGTTATATTCAAAGCAATAGTTTGGATTTACTAAAGTTTTAGTATGTTTTTGTAAAACATTACCATGAAGCATCTGTGATGCTCTTTTTGCATTAGACAGCTCTACAATTCAACAAATATAAAAAGAAAGAAAATAAAAGACAAATCTGCACTGGATTATTCAACACTTATTAGAAAACACATATTGAGGTTTGTGAAAGCTTTACACTATTTTTAAAAAAAAAAAGAAAAGAAAATTCAGAGTTTTCCCTAAAATATTGTTCAGATCTTACCTGGAGTTATTTTTAACGTCACATCTTGTAAGCTGGATCTAACAAAAGAAGCTGTAGTCCTTTAGACACATTTAGCTTGTAAAACATCACAGGAAACCATATCGACTGACAAAATCTGATGAGTGCATCTCTTTTTGTCAAGAAGAGCACTGGTCAAAGCAATGTGAGAATAAAAAGACAAGGCAAGCACAGGATGCAATCCTTTTCCAACAGTAACTGGCTTCCTACAGGCTTGACTGTTTCCGTTTACAAACAGTTTATGGGAATAAATTAAATCTATTTACCACTTCCCTGCGCCTTAACAGCTCAGCGGAGAGGGTTTCTGATCCATTTGTTCTGCAGTGATGGCAGGATAAAGCTAATCATTGTCTACTCTGCTTTGCCTCTCACTTTATACCACTGAGATGCGGCACACAACTCCTCACATTAAAAGGCTGGAGATTCACTCTGAAGAATCATGAGTCTGAAGCAATGTTTTACTGTCCCACATTGGTCTGTTTTGGCGCCACCATCTCAAAGTCCCTTGTTGTGTCTCAATTTGGCCATTAAATTAAACTGCGGCCACTTTTAAGCCTTGTGTAAGAAGCTCCTTTGGGTGGTGAGTGGAAGCAAAGCTTTAAAGTGGTTGTACAGGGGAGAAGAAAAACATTGTTTCACCCCAGAGGTGGGCTCGATAGCAAGCCGAAAAAGCCCATTTGAAGGGGGTAGGCCTCATCTGTCACTGGGCAATGGAGGAGGCAGCCATGCAGAAGTCCCCTGATTATAAAGAGATAATTTCATCCAATCCTCCGGTAGTGCTCCATCGCCTTGCCGCCATACTCCACTGCCTTTCATATTTGTTCCCGGCCTGCATCTCCTCACCCTATTCGTTTTATTACAGCTTCCACTCAATACATATATTTTAGCTCCCGCTTGAATAGGGGAAGGAAAGCGAGTCTCCTTCTTTCTCCTCCCTCCCACTCCAGTCTCCTCCATGCACACACACACAGACACACAAACCCACACCATGTGTCTTTTGTTGTGCAGGAATCCACAGCTCTACTTGTTGTGCAATGCCTGCCGTGCAATTTGCAGTAAATTAAGCTCAAGTAAGGCACATAACTGCACCAATTTCCCACTCGCACACTCACCACTGTAAGACAGGATTCCTATCTGAAACCAATAGGATCACAGGTAGTGGATCAGAGAAAGAAAAGGAATGATAACATCTGAAAAGAGCATGTAAATAGGCTAAGGCTCATAATTGCTTCTTGTTGTTATTATCAGCACTGCATCAGAGGGTTAATCTTTAAATAGGCTCTCGGTAGTCGCAAAAGATATAACAAAGGACTAGTGTTAATTGGAACAAGAGAATGTCTGGAAATTCAATTACTTCCGAACCCCATCTCGCATAATATTTTTTCGGTATAATTATGGAGTTGAGAGGCAAAGAAATGTAGACGTACGGTCAACGGTTTTACAGGATGACAAGATCAAAACTGTTGTTAAAAATGTATGTGTAACTGAGCAAAAAAAAAATAAGATGGAGGTGAATGGCACTCAGACCTTTGTTCCCCCTCATTTTAACTCACTGCTGGAGGTAAGAGAGATGACATGGGGTGGGGGGAGAGGAGAAGGAGGAGGAGAGGAGTAGACAGAGAGAGGAGAGAGAGAGAGAGCAGGTTGACTCGCTCATCAATAACCACAAGGTCAGACAGGCAGTGGCGGGCTGAGTGGGCCCTGTTAGGAAGCAGCAGCTGAGGATTTGTAGAGCTTGTAAAGGCTTAAAGCAACACCACTCCGCCTTCTTTGTGCCACAAGCTGGGTCTTTGAAGGGCCAGGGAGACACCTGCTGGTGGCAGAGGGTGACTACGGCCGGCATTCATCAGCTTCCTGTCTGCTGGCACTGAGAGAAAGCAGAGGGGAGAGCTATAGGAGGGCACTCCTAGGGGATGTGTAGAGAATATCTCTCTCCTCATCTATATAAAGTAATATAATGCTTTGTGTTAACTGATATTGCATTGTGTCTTTATAAACATATTAATATCCTTATGTTTTACTATCCATCCATTATCTGACACACTTAATCCCAAGTGGGGTGCTGGTGCCTATCTCCAGCAGTCAACGGGCGAGAGGGTGTACACCCTGGACAGGTCGGCAGTCCATCGCAGGGCAACAGGACAAACAAACATTCACACACACACACACACACACACACACACTCACACCTAAGGATAATTTAGACAAGTCAATTAACCTGTCATGTTTTTGGACTGTGGGAGGAAGCCGGAGTACCTGGAGAGAACCCACGCATGCTCATGGAGAACATGCAAGCTCCATGCAGAAAGACCCTAGGCTGGGAATTGAACCCAGAACCTTCTTGCTGCAAGGCAGCAGTGCTACCCACTGTTTTATAATGTCATATCCATTTAGTGCATAACTCCTATTGTCTACCATATTATTTTGTAATCATTTAAATATGTCCTATTTTGCTTTTTCTGACCTTTTTTTCACTGATTACAAAAATTTAATCCGATTGCTACACCTCTATGATATTTTCTCTTACCCTCGTTTTAGCAATCAAATTCCAGGATGCCAAACTTATAACGAAAGACTCCCACTGCTCCAACAATCACAAAGTTATTTAGTGTGTGAGTGAAGTGTGGGATCGCTGAAATGTGAGCAAACAGATACATTTCATCTGCAAACACAGAATTGGAGAGAAGGAAAAAAAAACATATCCTCGGATGTCTCTTTTTCTTTATGAGCTTTCTAATTTATGGAGAGGAATGCACTCCTGTGCCCTTCTCTCCTCTCAAGTACAGGCATGAGCGGCTCCAATAGGTAGCATAAAAGCTCTTTAGCTGTCTAGTGGAGTAGATTACCGGCCCTGCCGTTAAATCCAGCTAGAGACCCCTAAGTGAGCATTATCGGTATGGTGCAGCATGCTGCCTCCTCTCTTTTTATTTCTCCCCGTCTCTCACTCTCTCCAGTCATCTCGCAGGTACTTTGTGCAGGGAAATTTCTCACAGTGAGATCGGTAATGGAGAACGATGTATGTTGAGGGTAAGGAGGAGTGTGGGAGATTAGATGGCCCTGCAGCAACAGAAAGGAAAGAAGGAGACACCGTTAGATGGAAGGAAGGGGGGGAGGCGATGGAAGGAGACGCTCCCCACTCCTCATAAATGTGCCCATTAATTCACTCACCCCTCCGCTTTAAGATGCAGGTCACTGATTTATAGCCGACAACTGTTTTGTAATATTTATTTGACACTGAATGCAGCATTAAATCAGTGTCCAGGAGGCAAAGCTGATAACCTTGTGATAATAATGTGTAGTATGTCAGATCACAACCTAATTGTTTGGCCCACCTGGATGAAAACAAAGAAATGGGTTTCTATGGGCTCCAGCTTCAGAATCAATAGTGCGCTGTAAGGGGTTTTGTTAGGGAACTCTGGGAGAGCGAGTACTGGGAGAGGAGGAGGTGGAGGAGGGGAAGTGGGGGGGTATGCAGAGCATGATAGACCCAGAGTACAGATAATTGTTAACCAAAGATTACTTAATGGCTAAGTAATGTAAACAGAGAGCCACATGCCAGGTTAATGTTCTCACAGAGGAGGATGGAGGAGCTTCATGCAGTTTCTCTGTGATAATGCTGACAGGCTGTGAGGTTTGACGCATTATGTGTGTGTGTGTCCCTCCCTACCTCAGTTCATTTTCACCCAGAGGCACTTTAAACATGGCCAGACATCCTGCCTTAAGTCCAGCCTGTCGTTTTCAAAGGTGCACGGGGCAACTGCCGGGCCTTGTTAAGGGTGTCACAGGAGCTGAGAGGGAATGTCATGCTTTGGGCTCTGTGAGGTGCTTGTCACCTGCCAAATCAATATCTCCCTGCTCAGCTCAAACTACACACACATACAGAGGGAGAGGAGAGGGAGAGAGCAGCAGCAGTATCCTGGAGTTGATGTGATCAGCAGCTTCCCTTAGAGCTGAGCCTTAACAAATGTCTGTGTTTCTGTTACAGAGCTCTCCGGTTTAATGGCTGGCAGATAGAGGCCAGACGGGGACAATCAACATGAACTCGATTCCGTCGATGGACAGACACATTCAGCAGACCAATGATCGTCTGCAGTGTATCAAGCAGGTGAGGCAGAGCGGAATTGAATTTTGGTGATAATGTTATGCTCAATATAAGCCCCAAATTATGCAAATCATTGTAAAATTGAAATTTCATTCAGACAAGAAGTTAGTTTCTGATAGACACAATGGGGTCTCTCAAAAGGGAAGACACAATTTTAAAGATGCATTACTTTTGGAAAAACATTGTTATCAACAAATATATTAGAAAATAGTATGTTAAAAAGATTTGCACCCTTTCCAGTTAGAGATGAGTATGTTTTCTATAATGCTGCAATCAAAGATCACTGTGCTTTGTGCTCCACACATTTGGCTATAACATTTTCACACGTGTTTTAACGGTTCATCTGTTTCAATAAATCCTTGAGGTTAGAAAGTCTCTCTGCCATGACCCTAATTTAAGCCCCAATCACAAATTCTCTGTTAGCTTTGGATTGAACTTAGGGCCATTTAAAAAAAAATTTGAACTACAATTTTTGTAGTTCGTCCAGCAAATAACTTAAAACAATCAACACACAATTCAAATAATACATTTTACAGACAACACATGGAAAACATCTAAATTTGTTTACATTTACTCATTTATAAGCCTTTACAAAATAATGTGATGCAACAGGTAAAAAAAACTGTTTCATTGTTATTTATATGAATTTCTAGAGACACACATTTCAAATATAAGACTTCTGAATTTAACCTAAATCTGTTTTGTGCTGAGGCCATGATTATACATAAAGGCCTTTATGTTATTTTAGGTATGTAATTATGACCTAATAGTGACTCTTTGACTTTACAGTAGACAGAAAAGTAGAAGATTTCTAACCTCATGTATAGAAAGTCATTATCAAACTCCTCAGTGGTCTCATTTCACCACAGCAAAGTGACTAATCTGCTCTGTTCCTGTTATCAGGACTACGGTGTGACTCGGGTTACTGACTGGTGTCAAAGAGCATTTGCTACCCATCCTCCGCCACAATACCCTCCACCGCTGACTCTCAGCAGATCCATGGGACAAATCACCAGCAGAATTAAAGTGACACAGCATTTTAACCCCGGGCTATGGAGGGCGGGGGTTCCATTTGATTCCTTCTCCTAAACTAAATGCACATTTTGTGTCTACGCTCAGCGCTGAGGTCCCTCAGAGCGACACGAAGTAGACTATGAAATGGTGCTCGTTGTACTTAAACATGTCAGTGGCAAATCCTTTTACCCAATGGGGAGCTTGAGACGATGTGTGGTGTTCATGTTCTTAAGTAATAAGAGGAAGAGAGGTAAACACTCTCCAACCTCAGTCTGGTTACATCGCAGCAGGGTGTTAAATAATTCAATATCCACTCCTTTAGTTGAAATGAAAATAGAGAGTCTTTTTAAGAGGGCTCGCAGAAGTACAAAAAGGGGTCTGACAATAGTTTACACAGCTTAAATGTGTGAAGGTTAAATGTATTAACCCGGCAGGACAAAAATTTAAACAAATACATCCTGATGTTAGCGCCTAAGGAAGCAGCGCATGGGTAAACACACCAATTAGAGAGATCCATGGCACACGAGTAGGTCTCCAGTCTATCTAATAAATGGTTAAAGCGTGGGGTCATTTCAAATCGACCAGTAAGAGCCAGCACCCTGCTAATAGAGGCGAGCTTTGTGCTGCAGACAATCAGGGTTTGGAAGGCCCGCATAATAAATACCATTTATGTCCTGCCAATTAGAGTAGCGCCGAGCCCATTCAGCTGGCCGTCTCTTCTCCTCCCTGTGCACAAAGATGATCATCAGGGGAGATCAGAACAATTAACTCGCTATCTTTTCCCCCTCGCTTTCTCCCCATTGTCCAATATCCAAGCTATTAAAATAATTAAGGAAATATTGTAAACCAATCCAGCTGTTTGCTTTAATTGAAACTGTAGCACACAGAATATTTTTTTTTTTTGGCATCTCAAAGAAAGGTCTGGGAATACAAATGATGGCTGGTCTATTGTTAAGTGTTGTTTTCTGGAAGATGCGACACGTCCGTGTGACTGCTCCCAGCCAGAGCGGCGGACAGGGTAACAAATTGATTTTGTTGCTCAAATGATGAATTGCTGCTGAGCGAGATGATAAAGTGGAGGAAATTGGAATCTGTCAATGTGATTGAATCAGGAGGTTGAAAGTCAGATCAGAAAATCATTGCTGTGGTAATTCTTAAATTACTGCCCCGTTGTAAAATTGCAATAACGGAATTTAAAAAAAAGAAAAAACTCAGCCCATTGTTATCAAATGAATTGATGGATCTTTTACTTAAGAACCAGGAGCAGAATATTACTTTTGTTCATATTTTAGACAGAAACGTGCTGCTTTTTCTAATAAGACAATGAAACAATAATGAGATGTTAGAATTTGTGTTTAGAGATAAAGAGAGTTATAGACTGAAGTGTGTTATATACCTCTATAACCTTTTTGTCGACATAAGAGCTCAAAACTCTGTTTTTTATTGCAATTCGAACAGAGAAACACTGATTAGCACATATTTATAAAGTGTAAAGAAAAGGTACAGGTTTTTATATTTTAATACAAATTGGAAAACTGGTATTATACACTGTTTTTATCACTCTCAAACCTCATAACCCTAAGAAAAATCCACTAAAGTCCAGTCTCAACACTTTCTAGGTGAGGTCCAAATCAATTCCCATGCCTTTTCCTCTTTATATATATATATTTCAAGATGTCAATCTAATTTAAACATCAAGTGTCACCTCCTAAGTCCAGATTTAGCTTAACATTTTTCTTAATAAATCTTAAGTAAATTTTAATTCTTTTATCCCAAATCCTTGCCAGCATACTCAAAATGATGTCCATTTTAAAATCTTTAAAGGCCAAGCCTAAGGCATAATTATTCTATAATAATTATTTCATTCATCCTACAGGCAGACCACAGATATGGCCACGGCTAAACTTTATGTGCTCTACTAAGCTTTTAATATAACCCAGTCAAAGTCTAGAACTATATTCAAATGTGTATTAGCGGCAAGGTTAGAAAACTTATATTGAGTGACATCCTCAATTCATTCTGTCTGATTTTGCATCATTTTAAAATTGACAAAGATAGTTTCTGGATTAAAAAAGCTGCTGCACAAATAATCTAAAAGATTTGTATAATTAGTTAAAAGGTGGCCCTTGCATTTGGAGAAAAAAAAAAAGGAGAGAACACACAAGTTTTTAAGAGCTCACATATAAAAGAGCAACCAAATTTGCTCAGGTTTACCTCCAAACAGACAAGAGGTTCTAAAAACACCTGTCTTTTTACATACCAGCACTTGTTTTCTCTGACAGGTTTGTTTTTCCCTTGTATCTCAGAATTGCACCATTGTGAACACTTTGGGGAAAAGATGGCTTCCCTGATACTGCTGGTATCTATTTCGGAGATAGTATTTTCTTCTCACTGTGGGGAAGCCAGTTTGCTGTCAGACTATGCTCTCTGGTGATGCATACTTGGAGGGAGACTCTGCAGACACCTGCAAACTGTCCTCTCCCTGCACGGGCGCTTCCTCTGACTGCTTAGGACCCATATTTTAAGATAAACTCTAGCCAACGCCGCTACTGTTTAGACCACACAGCTGTTTTTGTGTAGCTTCTGCTGAACTCCCTTTCCTGGGTTAATTGTCTCCATTAATATGTTTCTCTGTTGCGCCAATGAATGTTGAACAACAGCAGCCTCTTTTTTTTCTGAATGGAAAAAGCGTGTTTGCCAGATTGCACGCTCTGTCACTTCCAGTTAGGCTGCAGATGTGCTTGTTGTTTTCCAGACGTGACTACAGAAGAGGGCTGTGTGTGCATCTCAGGACACTGCACGTCCTGTCCATCTTTGTTCCCCTCCTCAAACTGAGCAGAGCTTTGAATGGTGTGTAAATGTTGAGTCAGTGGGAGCAATAGGGTAACGGAGCAGGAGGAGGGTGTTTGTTGGCCACTGGTTTGGGTTTGATTGGTGGTTCTTTGGCCATAAAGAGGGGAACATCTGTGGTGTGGCTGTGCCAAGCTCTCCGAGTGACAGCCACACTGGTGGGACCAATTGTTCTGAGTGCAAAGAACAGTAATCACTTCAAGCCCAAGTGCTGGTGTGTGTTTTCTTTCTCCCTTCCCTTCTAACGTATTCCTCCTCCCTCTTTTTTCCATCCTTGGTGCACCGATTGTGTGTGTTGTCTAGCTTCCAGACTCCCCTAAATTTAGCATCTGTGGATGTGTTTCACTTTCTCACCCAGCAGAAATGCACATGCTCTGCATCCCTGCCACGTCTCACTTTAAGCTGAGCTCTCTTCGTGTATGAAGCCAGCAGCCAACACAGTGACAGACATAAGCGGAAAATAAACTAGCCTGGTTTCATCCACCTCCTTGTCAAACTCCACCTTCATAAGCTGATATGAAAGCATCCTTCTCAAAACCTGACCTGTGCTGCCCCCTAAAGAGCAATCAGAAAAAAAGCAGCTGTCCTACTCTCTGACAGTGAAATCAAAGCACACATACTCATCAAGAAGACAGCCACCCTCGTTAAGGTGACAGCCCACTCTATTTACCTTTGATGCTGTGCAGTAGGAGTCCATTTGTTCCTGTTTTGAGCAAGTGCACTACAAAGGTTTGTGTCCATAATTTCTCCAAAGGCTCCAGATTACAACTGAGGGTTGTTTATATTTGAGGTTTGCAAGCATCTACAGTTGAGTGGGCCACTTGTGATGGAGGAATCCGTTTTTTCTATCTATCTACCATAAAGTGGGATCCCAAGCAAAATTATTGTTCAATTCACAATCACGTATATAGTAATATATGAATTTTTCAAGCCTATTTAATAGTTTTTCTAAGATTTTGGAAAATTGGGGAAGTAAAGAAACGGGTCTATAATTTGTGTACTGTATGGGGGTCTATTCCCAGTTTTATATAGTGGCTATTTATAGCGATGTAGAATGAAAATTTGCAGGTAAATGTTAGTGGTTCTATAGTGCATGCACAGCGCTTTATTCCAAGAAAGTATTTTAGTTTTCATGATTTTTAGTTTCAGCCAATAAATACCCAACATTAGGTTAGCAATTTTATAGGATTCAAAATACAGTAATGTAGGCAGACCACAAATTAAGCTTATACATTTTTATATCTTGCCCATATTTGCACTCAATTGTTTGCATGGGCTCCCTTTCTATGAGCTAATGGGATACTGTGTCATGTTATGGAGGCGATCAACCGGTAGCACTGCTGAAGTGAGAATGAAGCCCAGTTTGTCGGCATTATTTGGTGTCTCTCTTGATTATTTCTCTTGACAATACTTGGTCATCTTATTCAGGATATATCAGGATCCACTTACTCCACAAGGACATACCATAGACTTAGTTTTTTATTTTATTGTGAATGTGAATTGCTTGTGCTCTGATGAGATTTTAATCTCAGACCATCATTGCATTATTTTCAAATCATCTCAAACTTTTTTAAAGCCCTCAGATCTCAAAGAGGGTAGCTTTCAGTTTTTAGATTCTTCCACAGAACTTTTACTACTGATTTCAGCCTTTTTTCCTCTCCCATTATTGATGTAGATTGTTTAAAATCATAGTTTTAATGATCATTGTCAATCTATCTTTGACCTTGCCATGTTAAACAGATGTCATTGCCTGTGTCAAATCCCACACCTGGGATTAATGATAGTATCCTCTGCTTAAAGGGCTTTGGTAGAATAACTGAACCTGTTAACCTGTTTTTCTAATATATTCATAGCTGGAAAGGTACCTGTAAACTGTTTTACTCGTAGAGATGGAAATCGTAACCCGTGCTTTTGTTTCATCATATCTAGGTTTTTGTAAAATGCTTTACACATGTTAAACTAAAATCCCCCAAGAACATTTGCAGTTTTTGCAGAATGCTGCTGCTGGGCTCCTGACTGGATCTTCAAATTCTGTCATGTAAATCCACTTTTAATTTTGGTCTTGACTTGGCGAGTATTTCATAGACACACTCCAATTTTCCTCGCTGGACTTTTGCATCCTTACATCAGGACCTTTAGGTCCTGTGATCAAGCCCTGCTGACTGCCCCCGAGACAAGTTAAAAACTAAAGGAGACAGAGACTTTTCTTCTGTGAACTTTGGACTCCCTTTCCCCCCTGCAGTAAGATTAGTGGACTTAATGACTTCTTTTATTAAAGGACAACAAAAAATTCATCTTAATAAATGTGCTTTTGCTTAAATATTGATTTGTGGGATTAATTTTGTTTTTGAAGCACTTTGTGGTTTTAAATCTTAAAAAAGTACTTTATAAATAAAGTTTACTAACCTACTGCAATTGAAGTTGTTAATGCCTGTTTGTTGGACAGCTGTTAAATAATAATTTTTTATCATAATAATGTTGGCCATAACATAGGGCTTGCAAATATGACCAAAACTAATATTACTCTATTTTTTATTTAGGTAAACACAATAGAATCTCAATGTTGATATTTATAAAATAAAAGCCACAGAAAGACAAATATTTTTGCCATGTTTATAAACCTTCTCTAAACACATTAGAAATATTTGTTTTAAAAACAAAAAACATTCAACTACATCAAACCAAAATGTCAGTCAGTGACAAATGCTGTAATCGTATTTGACTGTTATGAATGCAGGAATATAAAAAAAAAAAAAAAAAAAGTCTTACACTGTTCAATTCAATTCTATTGCCATATGTTGATATTGAATTATTGTCCAGCCCTGCCACCATAGCATTTCCCTGTTAAACTCCATTTTTTTAGGAATAGGAATATTATGTTTTCGGAGAAAAGACTCAATTTGGGATTTTCATCAGATGTTTTCTATAATTAAAAGAAAACTAATACAAATAACGCCTCACTTTGTATGGAATAAACCTATATAATATGATTTTAGACCTTTGTATTGAATCGCTGAAATATATATATATTTTCTTTGATATTCTAATATATGAGCTGAACCTGGAAGATAATTTCTACCAATAGGAGGGCCAGTTTTTAAAAAGAAGTTCGTTTCCTTTTCCTGGCCACTCTTTGGTGGTTCTAGTGACATTGTGAAAGGATTAATTCATAATCAAAACAGGGAAATTGTATAGAATAAATAAAACATTTTTAGTGCCTAGCTTTAATTTCTATTACCTCACCTACTATTTTTTAGATAATAAATACAGTTATGTCTCTTACCCCATTGCCTCCATACAGTAGATTGATTTTAGAGACATTTCACAGTTTTCTCCCTCTTTCTTTTTCTCACAGCACTTACAAAATCCAGCAAATTTCCAAACGGCAGCAACCGAGCTGCTGGACTGGTGTGGAGACCCCCGAGCGTTCCAGCGCCCCTTTGAGCAAAGCCTGATGGGATGCCTAACGGTGAGTCCGTAGATCTCTTATCTTTCAAGGGGGGGGCGGAAAGAGCTGCTAAAAACAACTGCTGGGTCTGCTCTTTTTCTAACTCTCTCAGGGACAAAAGGCAGCTAATGTTTTCTTGCCTCGTCTTCAATAAGGTCACTGAGAAAAAAAAACACTTCAAACAAGAGGAAGCACTCAGATTTCTCCTCTTTTAATAACCTCATTAACAGTTTGTGCTGAGTCTTATGAATTTAAGGAAAACATGAGAAAAAAGTAATGCAAGAATACCCTTGAAGCGTTAAAGAATCGGAAGGAAGAAAACATATTTTTATTGCCTTTACTTAACCCTTTATTGCTATAAATATGGAAACCACCAACAAAAGGAAAGCTTGTGTGGACTGTAGGTGTTTCACTCACATGTCACCTTTGCCGTAACACGCTGCTTCTAGCAACAGATGAAAGAAAAATATGCTGCAGCTTTAAGTGCAGCCTGTATCCCCTACAGCAGTGCTGGAAAGTCAGTGAAGCCACTGTGACACATTGAGCGGCTGCTTCTGTCGGTGCTTTAATGTGCAACAGCAGGTGACTTCTCCTCCATTCTGCCAATTCAATTTGTGCCCCGCCGTGAAAATGTCGCGGCTTCTTCCTTTTAGTATATGAGCTCTATGGACCCGAGTTAATCTAATGTAATTGCAAAATTACACAGCACTCCATCCTGTGGATTTCCTGATTTTACCTGCAGTGTCTTGGAAAAGTGTAAAGCATCTTGTCACGTCAAAAGCACACACCAAATGATTCTATTGTTACAGACAAACAGAGAAATAGCCCTCATTTTAAGGTGGGAGGAAAACAGAGCATGTTTTATCCCGAAAAATGTGCCATGCATTTGCATACATCGCAACTTTAATTGTATAAACACCTAAATAAAATCTAGAGCAACTAATTGAAACTGGTTTGTATGCAGATTTCCCCATGTAAGCAATTTATGACAGTACGAGAACATCACAAAGGTGTGTTGCAATCCACACAAGGAAGGCCAAGAAACACGGCAGAAAGGTCAGGGATAAAGTCATGCAGTGATTTAAAGCAGAAGACGATATAATTTAGTATTCTGAGATTTTTAAGCCCTCACAGATAGGTGTTAAATATATCAGCTTTAATTTAGAAGTGTGCAACACAAATACCACTTTGTTTTTAAAAAACAACTACCACTCACTCAAACAAATGTTTTTGTCACTCTTTTTTATGTAAGAAAATACAATAACTAGACTTTCCTTTTCGCTTTACAGTTATCCACTACTTTAGACTAAGGGTATCAAATCGTTTCATTTTTTTCAAAAGAACAGCTTTATTTTTTCAGTTTTCCAAAGACTCGAAAAAAATAGATTTCACTGTTTGAAAAAAAATATAGCCAGATGTTTATGGACTTTATGTTCATCTATATAAAGGGGACAAAAATGCACTCTTCTGTCATAATTGACTCCTTAGATATAAAGCGGTTTAAGGCACACTCTGATGGTGGGTTTAACATAGAAGATGTGAAGCACATGTTGGCTTTATGGTGGACAAACCCACCTCAGCTGCACCGACTGGGTACAATTAAAGACCTGGAATAAGAATCCCTTTTTTACGCTGAAATTACCATTTAGCAAAACATCCCTCTGTAGTTCAGATTCTAATTAGGCTGACTGTGCTCATATTTCTTCTGCTTAGTGGGACATTCCTTTAAATAAAGCCCAGATGTACATACTCCGAGCTGGTGTTAAGTCAGGACCATATTTACTGAAGGTAATGACATGGTGCAAGCAGCAAAGTTCACGTCCACAACCTCAGGACTTATCTTGAAGTGTGACGGCGGAGATATGAAGGAGCAGGATGGAAGTAAGATCTTGAAGTTGTTTCACACAGACCTGTACATCCTGAAAGGTCATTAAGATTTGAGAAGCTCTCTTTGAGCTGAATTTGACGAAGGTAAATCAAAGCCCCGTTTGCAGGACATTATGGTGATTTACATCGCCTCGGATGGCATGTTGATGCATCTCCTCATGTTTCCTCTCGATGGGTCATCTCCGCACTGGAGGCCGCATTTACTTCTTCTCCTTCTGTCAGTCCGCCCATATGGAAGTTATAAACAAGTGATGTGTCCATCATTTAAGCTGAAGTGGGTCTTTTATGTTGCAAAAAAGGTACATCTTGAGCACAAGTAGAAGCAAAATCCAGCATTCCAGAAGAGTTTAACTTGCTTTTGGTTATTATTACGCTCATAGAGAGATTTTCCCAACCAGTCTTTACTAAATAGAACACATGAAGTGTCAGGACTATTCAGAAAGAAAAAAGTCTCTTACTATATGATCATTTATATGATCATTTATGCCCAAATATTAAAGTGTTTTTAATTTGTCACTTTTAAAGCTCTTTAGGCTGTTCAACATACAAAGGTGCCTCTACATTTGTAGGCAACCCATTTCATTACACATAAGAAAAATTTGTCAAAAACGGTGATGGCTAAATTTCCCAGAGATAAATATGCTACAATAGTAAACTAAAAACGTTCACCAAATGAGCCTCCTCAATGTTTGTTGGGAAAAGACAAACTTTCCAGTAGGCAGTCTTTTTGTAGATACTGCTTTTCTAACTTACTTGAATAGTAAGTAAGTACGGTTTATTTATGCAGCACCTTTCTCAGACAGGCGTCACAAAGTGCTGTACAATATGAGGCATAGAATACAAAGCAGCACCTTATAAAATACATATAGACAAAATAAATACAATCATAGCACCCTTGGTAAAATAGTCTAAATATGCTTGGCTAAAAAATAATGTTTTTGGTTGTTTTTTAAAATCATCCATGGAGTTCACCATGCACAGTTAAAGCGGTAGTGCATTCCACAGTCTGGTTGCGATGCGTTGGAAGGACCTATCACCTCTCGTCCTAAAATGGGTTTGTGGGACCATTAACAAGTTCTGTTGAGCACAAAAGTGAGACTGCGGGGCTCTAAAAGTCAGGACCAGAATTTTAAAGTTTATGCTGTATTCAATGGAAAGCGAGTGTGGAGCTTTGAGGATAGGAGTTATTTGGGCTCTTCTGATTGCACATGTCAAGATCCTCGCTGCAAAATTTTGCACTAGCTGCATTCGAGCTAGGCTTTTTTTGTTCAGAAAGTGAACAGGCTTTTGGAATGGCATGTCCTTTATGCTTTCCATTTTTGTCTTAGAAATTCCCCATATGTCTCATATCCTGTTATACTATTAATTAGCAAAAAAAAAAAAAAGGACTTTGTGGATTAGCAAGTAAAACTTCAGTGGCACTGGGATCAATTTATAAAAGTAAAATTCCTGTAGCTGTATTTCTATTGTAGCCAATCTTAGAAGTTGCCAATAAGGTCTGCTTTGACTGTGTTCAGGTGGTCAGCCGCGTAGCAGCACAGCAAGGCTTCGACTTGGACCTAGGCTATCGACTCCTGGCCGTGTGCGCCGCCAACAGGGACAAGTTCACTCCAAAATCAGCAGGTAAGACCAGAGTTTTATCCTTTTGCCATCTGGTCACACTTCCCTGCCTTGGGCTCAAAGTCACATTCCAAGTATTTTTCCAATTAACGCTGCTGAAAGTACTGATCCTCAAAAAACAAAAAAAAACATTGCCAACTTTGTTTGGCTCATATTTGCTCTGAATCTTGTCATTTTTATTTATACGACCGAAGGAAACAAATCATTTTTAATTATGGTTTAAAGAGTAACCAGACTAAAAACTGGTGGCATTTTATGTTTATGATGAATTATAGCAAGCCTAAAATTCAGATATTTTAAAGGTCTTTACAAGCTGGAAGGAAAGCAGGCTGAAACATGGTGGGAACTAAAGATATATAGACTGTCAGAAGCTAAAGGATAAGAAATAATCTGTGATCATTTACAGCTGATAATTTTTTGTTTCCACTTTTTCTGGAAACATATGCTTGACTATACTGCTGATCCTCTATTTAGCTAATTTAACTATCTATTTAACTAACTATGTCGCTGTTATTTCAGCTAAGGGTTAGGAAACAGTCTGTCTGCAAATAACTAAGATGGCCAAATGTTGTAATTCTGCCTAATTCTTAATCAAATCTAAGGGCCCATTTTATGGGCTTAGATAAGATTTCCAATTGATCCAATGTCTGAATCATTTCCTGCTTCCTAGTTATTTGGAAACCTGAGCATGGTCTTGTTTGGGCAGCATCCCAAAGTGCATTTCATGGACAGTTATGCACAAGTAAATGTTTGATTTTTTGGAATGGAGATGGATTAAAAAGAAAGCGCTGCAGATATGCTTAAGAAGCAAACAGAAGGGATGTTTTTAAGATGTAGCGAGTGTTCGCTGTAGAAACTGGAGGAGATGGCTCTTAAAGGACACTCCCACAGATATCCCAGGAGGCAGGACCTGCTGCTGATGTCCAGCGGGGGCTGTTGCTGTGAGACGGAGGATGATGGGGGTGGTATGATGTGATGAGTCAGTGTTTGCAGAGGGAGAAACTTTTCAAAAAAGCCCAAGTTTTTTTTTCTTATAGATTTTTTAAAAGTTTGAAACATCTCTTTACAGGGCTAGGGCACGGGCTGCAGCAACTGCTAATTTTTAAAATCACTTTAAGAAGTGAAACAAAAAGCTTTAAAGAGTTGCAATTTCATTTATTTATTCATAAAAATACCACTGTGGTGGATTTATCATACAGAGAATGCCACCCTTTTATGTCTGACGCTTCGTACCAGCTCTGCTGTCCCTCTCTCATCCTTTTCTTTCCTATTGAACAACAGTGATTTAAAAATGAGGCATATTAGGGAACATGTTGAAGAACTGGTTATTTATGTGTTTAGATCCAACTTTGAAAGGATGCAAATATTACATATCTGAATCTAAAATTAGAAAAGTTTTATATTTTAGTTTAGCATTCGCTAACCTGTATTAATTTGTCAAATATAATGCCTGGGACATATAGACAGCACTCCAAGACATATATGTATTCAGCTTGTTTACAATAAAAGTGGATTTGGGGGTGAGTTGTTCTTTAAGGGACCAAATGTTCATGAAATACTATTATTCTTGTTCTAACATTATGCTTGTTGGTTTAAATTTACAGCTCTTGTTAAACAAGCTTATATCTTTTGTTAGATTTTAGTCTGAATATTTAGGCAGGATTTGCTGCCAGGTGAAGCAGCTGATGATTAAACTTATTACCTTTAAAGGTCAGAATAATATACATGATAAAAATGTAATTGACTATAAAGATTGATATAATTTCTCCCCAATATCCTACCTACTGTAAAACTCCTTTTGTTGCATTTGTTTTGCCCCCCATGTGGTCACCCAATGGAAAACTCTTAAGGCATCTGTTTTATGACTGCTTGGTTTTTGATGACATTTTATTTATAAGGGAAGCGAAAAATCAGCAGTTTCTGTGCTTGGAACCCATCAAATCAGAGGAGAGAGCTAATAAGTTAATCAGATTTGGTTCACCAGCTCTAACTCGCCCCGGCTCAGACACAGTGTAGTCGATGGCCGTTACATTTCCGTTGATACCCTCTCAATGCCTCTCCTGAACATGCTGCAAAATTGATCCAAGGGAGGGAGGGCTTAGGTGGAAATCAATGTTCACAGTCGGCTCTGAGCTGAAATAGCTTGTAGCTTTGACAAATTGATTAATCATGAAATGCCTCCAATAATTTACTGAATTAGCTTTTGCTTTCTATTATTGCAAGAGGGTAAAACTTCATTAAGGCCTCATTACCACAACTTATTGATGGCATCAGCAGGCATATGTAAAAGGGTTTATAGAAGTTGAGATAATGTACGTTGAGAATGTAATCCTTTCTCATTAGAGGGGAATTGAAAACTCAACAGTGTGTCATTCAATGAATTGAGCTGCTGATGTGTTTAATAGATACACTCAAAGGGTGGGCGGAGGAGGGAGGGTGTCAGACAGTCCACCCCCCCTTTTTTTTAAGCAAAGTTGGGGGGAAGGGTGCCTGTCTGCTCATAGTGACCTCTCAGTGAATGGGATTAGCCTGCTCTATTAATCTGTGATTACGTAGAATGTCCGACTGCCGGGTGAGGATGTTCACGTGAAGCTGCAGCGACCTGAGATGTGGGAAATCGCTCAGCTTGACTTATGTGGATAAACTCATCAGCCCCTCTTCTGTTTTCTCATAAGACTACAAGCTCCTCTAGACCTTCAGTTAAACCACCTGATGTTATTCAAGAGTTTTCAACCAAAGAAAAAAAAGTAATTGCAATTTCTTCTAAGCGGCACATTCCAAATCAATCGTGCCTCACTGGGCCGTTGGAATCTCTCCACTCAAAAGAGTGAAAAGCACCACCTACTTAAAAAGAGGGAGGAGAAGGCCAGAGTTTCTCAGCTCCTCAAGCCATTCATTGCCCCATGTAACAAACGACAGCCAAAGCAGGCATTCAGCAGTTAATTAGTTCTCGCGCTGGTCAGGCTCAGTTGGTGCTACACTCGTTTTACACATTCAAGACATTCAATCCTTACACACTGTGGGTTGTAGTTAACACTGTCAGCTTAAAGTAAAAAAGTGTTCTTACTGTTTTGTTTTTCATTCCTGTGAATGTAGGGGTGCTTTAGGTGGAACATCAAGGGTTGTTTTTTTTTTCTTCTAATCTATCAAGGCATTGCAAACCAAAGAGAGAGTGGGTGTTGATAAAAAAAAAAATGCACTATGACCACCTAGACACAGGGCCTTAACTTTTTCGCATTTGGTCATATTGCAACCTCAAATCTCAGAGGACTTTATTGATTTTTTTGTCTGACCTTGACTCGTCGGACACAATAGTGACAGCTGCAACCAATCTGTAAAAAGAGTCGTGTTGCTTAAAGGTGAACCATCACCCAATTTTCAAGTCATTTTAACTCTCAACCCTCCTGTAGATCTCCTGCCAAAGGTGGCTCATATTTGAAATACCCCATGATACCTTTATATTCTGACCAGCTACAACGTTCCTGCTGGAAAACTAGCTGCCCACAGCATGATGCTGCCACCAATTCTTTCAGCTCAGATTACTGAAACTTTTGGGGGAGATTCACAAGGCACGTACCTGGACAGGCATGTAAACAGAGTCCAGGGTGATTGGACGCCCCCTGAACTCAGTGCAGGTGGTGGGGAAAAAAAGGTCTTTAACTTAAAAAACATGTATGTTAGATAGTGTCTCCCACCCCATGCATGAAGCTGGTGCTGAACTGGAGAGCTCCCTCAGTGGCAGACTGCTGCACCCTAAATGCACAAAGGAGTGTTATTGCAGATCCTTCCTCTCAGCAGCTATAAGACTTAATAACCCTCATCCCTCCTTTACAAGTTTAAAAGGTGTTAGATTCCAGATTAATGTTGCGCAGTTCCTTTCTTAGTCACTTTAAATGACATGCTGCTGTCATTGTGTGCATCTTTACTGTTGCTGCTTTTTCTATACTTCATTGGTTATTTTTTCTTCTTTTAACAACTGAACTTTATTTACATTCTAAATGTCTTTCTGCTCTTACTGTACAGTATTTTTATTTTTATCTTTGAACCCTTTTTCACTTTATTCTGTATTTTTAATTTAAATATACACTTTTTAATGTCTACACCTGTGTGACCCTTTTTTATTGCCTATTGCTTTGCTGCAGCTACATTTCCCCATTGTGGGACAATAAAAGGAGTTTCTTTTCTATTCTATTTTCTCACTAACACACTTTTTTCAACCATTAACTAATGTCCATCAGTTTTCTTGGATAATACATCCCAACATCCATGTTCCAACAATACATTTGTGGCTCACCTTGCTTGAAAAAGGTGTAAACAACAGTTTTCTGAACAACTGTCTTTCCAGTGATTATTATAATACTTCCATATATTAAATCTTTATTTAATAATATTATTATTATTATTATATGTCTGAAAAACTGAATATTTGATTTTATCAGGTGTAATCCATGAGAATGAAAATGATTCCAAATATGTTGCTTGTATGTGGTATAATGCCATGTGAAATATGTTTTACCTTCTGAATTGCATTACTAAAAGGATGAACTTTTGTGTTGATATTATGATGCAGCAGCATATGTCAACAACAGACTTATGTGCAAGTTATTTTATTTGCACACAGGGCTCAGGTGGCACATCTACCTGCAGTTTACATGTTTTATTGCTGTGTAATTATTTATTTAAAGGCTTAGTGGGGCTGGTGTTTGCACAGAGACAAATGTGGTGTAATTGGCCCCTCCTTCTCTGATACCAATCCTCTGTGCTTTGAAAAGCCTCCGCCTCCTCTTCCTTTATGCTCTTTAATTACAATGACAGCTTTGATTGATTAAGTCAAGTAAATGCTCTAAAATCCAGGGTAAGTGGGATGAAATCGCAGCTTCCTCCGAACGGACTCTGGTGGAGCTTTTTGCAAAACCCGTTGCATCTCCATGCAGCTCCAGACCCTGATTGAGGCTTCTTTAAGACTCGTCGGTCTGGACCAGGGCCAACACACAGGCTGTCTA